GTTGCTGGAATTCGTACAGTCCAAACCTTGGTGGGATATCTTATTTATCATCTTCTATATCTATGTACATTTTGTATTGACTCTGCTTTTCTTTGAATAGATTTTTTCGATACTAGTTGGTCTCATTTGGCTTAACAAAGGGCGAAATATCTCCTCCAGCAACTATGAAGGTATAGAAGGTGTATTATTTTACATTCTTATCATTCAAAGTTTCATGGCAATATTTGGAATAATATTTGCATTTCCACTGGAACGTTCGATTGTTTTGAGAGAGCGTGCTAGTGGCATGTATCGAGTGTCCGCTTATTACCTTTCAAAGATACTGGTGGAGCTTCCTCGAACAATTTTGTTTTGTTTGCTATTCTGCGTTGTGGTAGGAATATATCTTTCAAGGGCGAAATTTGTGCTAACCTTTGAAGTCATATTGGATGATTGGCCTTCGAGATTCCGTAGACTCTTTTTTTCTCTTTGTTGTTGTCATGCTTTTGAATTCATTGACCGTCGAAGGAATTGCTTTGACTGTTTCTGTATGTGGATTTAATGTTTTGAAGACACTTTTCATGAATGTTTTAGGCAGCAGCACCAACACCGAAGGTAGCTGCAGTAACCGTACCACTTATTTTAAATATAGCTGTTCTTTTTGGAGGTGCTTTGTTATCAAACGCAGAGATACCGAATCATTTTGTTTGGTTAAAATTTTCATCTTTTATGAAATATTCATATGGGGCATTGATGCAAAACCAGTTTGTCGATTTTGCGTTTCAGAGCCTTAGTAAGACTTGCGTCATTTGCGACGGGAATGAAGTTCTTGAAGATTCTGGAATCACCGATTTCTCCATGGCGGGAAATATTGGAGTAAGAGAATGCCTCTCAGTTTCGTACTATCATAAATTTTCTATGAACAGATGCTGCTAATGGAATTGTTAGTCTTTCGAATAGCGGCATATTTGGTTCTACGAATGAGAGGTCCCAAACACGACAAAGCCTTGTGAGCGTTGAAATGCAGTCGGATAGGTATCCTCTGATTGGTTGGAATTGCCTTTTTATTATAAAGGCAAATGTCCCATTATTGTTTTGTTTTTGTTTCCTTCTTTGTTCTTTGTACTGATGGTGCTTATTTGGTATGGTATCAAAGGTTGAAAGCTTTTGAAATAACTTTTTAAAAAAGGTAGCAATGATAACAACAAAAATATTTGAGATAGAAATCACAATTCTATCAGGGGGCGACTATCATTTTGTGTTGAGCATATGCAGCCTCACTCATTCTTTTCAAACTATTACGCTCTCACTTGTTATATTATTTGCGTCATTCTGTCAAATCTTAAAGGTTACCACTTACTTTGCTCCCATCACGCAAGCCCTCAGCACATAATCCAAGTTTCGCAGAGAGATACAGTCATTTCAAGTAAGAAATATAAATGTCTTCTTCCGAAAGTGGATTAATTTCACAGTAAATTTTTTTTCTCTTAGGCTTTTTATGTTTATGCCCATCCAATGGACAAGCGATGGTGTCCAGCTACAGAGTTTTAAAAGTCCACGTTCCGATGATGAAATGAATGATTGCATAGTGTATGTCAAACACAAAGACATCCATACTTTTACCGACGCTGAACGGACAATCTTTGATAAGAATAATATTGGCAGATGGATCAAACTTGACTTCCCTTTTCTTGGAAGAAACAGCTCCAACTTTTTCATCAATAATGAAAGGATTAATACTTCTTGCGTGATTACCTCCGATACGATTTGAACAGAAGGGAACTTGAATAAATGTTGTACCTCCTCCAGATGGAAAGTCGATGGCTGCATACTCTTTTTCCATGGCATGAAAAACCATCTTAGAATTTAGTGTCCAATAAGCTTTCTTCATTCCATCCTCCATCAGCGAAATTCACAAAAATTTTATTAGTGACAGTGAGCTATGCGGGATGTTTTCTGGAAAAGGTCTATACCAACAACGTTAGTTCCGTAGATATTACGAACGACGCGAAATTCAGTATAATCTAATTCAGTTTTCTTCAGGAATAATTCTCATAAAAAGAAAATCTATAGTTTCAATATGGTCGCTCTCGTTAAAATTTTCCAAAAGCAGTAGTTTGTCGACCAGAACCCCTCGAGGTAAATCCATTTTGCTTTGGTTGGATAAACGGTCTGGTATGTTTTCAAACGTCCAGGTCCAATAAGATAGGGTCAGATTCAAGCCAATATATGAAAAGAAGGTGACAGTATAATCTAATACTTCCTCCGTATCATAGGTGGTTGTATTGTAGTATGAGGGTTATATATTGCTGCTTCATCTTGCTTAGCAGAAACGGACTCGATGAAATTTTTTCTCTGAAAAGCTCATGCCCATCCTCTTTCCAAGAATCTTAGCTTCACTTTATAACTATATACAGCAGCAGTAAACGCTGAAAATAAGAGAAGAAATTTACGAGAGAATTGGCGAGCTGTCTCTAAAAAATGAATGATTCGAAATGAAAGAACAAAGAAGGAAAGCTGACGTGTGGAAATGGAAAGATCCAAAGCATTACTACATTACGGCAAACATGAGAGCAAATTATCCACTCATTTCTTTCTTTTTCATGATGGAGTGTCTTCAATGGCAATTGTTTCTGTCGATGTCTTTTTTCACATCGGCACTACCTTGAACTCTTTTATTGTTAACAAGCCTTTTTCAATATTCTGCTGTAGGAAAAAATGTTAAAAACTTTACTTTCCTGTTTTGAATCACGACACTTTGGTCTAACTTTAGAAGATAAACAGTACAAGCAATACTGACTCCAACCCAGAGTTCACGGCATCGGCACAATTAAGAAATACAATGGGATAGTTCCGCTCTGAAAGAATGTCTCTCAATGAATATCGGAATTTTCTTTTTTAGAAATTCTGGCGAGACTTTTGATGTCGTTACAAAGCTTTGACACTTCAAAAGGTCTTACCAACTCACAGTACTTTATACCCCTTGGAGATTAATGTCCAATTCAGGTACTGTAGAAGAATGAAGAATCAAAAAAATACAACAAAGGGAATGAAATCAGTTTCTATATGGCAGGAGAATGGATCGAAGTCCACTAACGGATTTGATCAACTGACTCCATTAACGGAAATGAACTGTTTGTCTATGGGACAATTCATTTCACAGGGTTTAAACTGAATCGGATTTTTAATTTGCTCCTGTTATAGATTTACAATGGAAGCCGGCGTTTTCAAGGAGGAAGTATACTTGAAAGAAAGTATTTCGATAGAGGATCAAGTTACAAAAAACGAGTCAAAAGTTGAGTTGCATGGCCCCGAAGATTATCTTCTAGATGGGACCTTAAGAAGGCCTCATATGGAATGGTGGAGAACAGTCTTTTTAATTCTCGGAGATATACTTGGAACGGGGATATTGGCAATACCCTCTGGGATGGCATCCATGGGCTGGTTATTGGGTACACTTTTTCTAGTGGTAATGTGTGGAATATTTATCTACTGTGGTCTTTTGTTATACAAGATGAGACTCATGTTTCCTCATATTCGAACTTATGGAGACTTGGGAAGGCAAGTTTACGGTAAATGGGGAGAATGGGCTGTATATCTTATTCAGTACACAAGTTTGTTTCTTGTATTACCGGTTTATTTGCTCGTTGCATCCACTGCTCTTCGAGATACTGTATCTCCAAATTCATGTCTGATTATATGGATGTTCGTAAATTCAGGAATACTTATTCTGTTTATGCAGACCAGAACACTTCGCTTTATGGCCTGGTATTCCTTAGTTGGAACAATTGCTATCTGTGTTACACTAGTCATTGCTATAGTTCAAATTATAATCGATGCTTTTTCTAGTAATACTCACGGGCAACTGATAAGTTCTGGAGGCTTTGAAAATGGTCTCGTCGGTTCTGGAGATATCATTTTCGCCTATTCCGGTAAGCTATAGATGTATTGGTCATGAAGCCCAATTATTTTCTCACATTCTTTATGTCGTAGGCATTTATGTCTTCATTGAATTCATGGATGAAATGAAACAGCCACAAGATTTTTCCAAGGCTATTTACACGGCGAACATTTTCACTTTTTTTCGCTTACACCATCGTTGGAATACTTGGTTACGCGGTATACGGAGAATTCGTTCTCAATCCTATCACATCCTCTTTATCATCTGGCCCAGTGAAAAGAATAGCAAATGGCTTCTTATGGCTTCACGTTTTGGTGGCTTTTGTTGTACATGCATTGGTATTTAACAGAGCGGTAGCTGTTCGCTTTTGTAAAAAATATGTGGACGATTTTCATCTCAAAGGACTGCTGGCTTGGTTCACAGTGACATTCGTGTCCACAGGCCTTTCTTTGTTGCTCAACATCTTCTTTCCCTATTTGAGTGACATTGAGTCTCTCGGAGGAACTTTGTTTTCACCAATTACTGGCTTCTTGTATCCCAACTTGTTCTATTGGAAATGCACGGGTTCCACGATGAGCACGAAAAGGAAGCTATTTGGCTGGTTTATACTGGCTGTATTTGGCATTGGATATACTATACTGGGAACTTATGGCACAATATATTCCATGGTTCAAAATGTCGGTGCTTCACCTCTACTGTACAAATGCCTTTCGTCATAGCCATTTCTCATGAATTTTTTCACGGTCAATGCAAGTTCTTTCTCTTACGCTTGATTTGTCTGGTTGTGTTGTTTGATAAAGAAATGTGAGAAGAAAATAGTATTTTCCTTCCGAATACATTATGATATGTTCATTCCATTGGTCCTCACAACACCAAATACTGTTGAGGCAAGGTTGTAGTCATCGTGACATTGAATACTTGTTGAATCATGCAAGAAATTGCATTGATTCCAATGGAGCCAAAAAGCAAACAACCTAAAATAGCTGCCGAAATTCTTTCCTCGTGGAATTCTCTCTCGTTTTACAGCCTGCTTCCGTCGTCTATATCTAAATGGAGTCCGGTACTATTCATTCTAGATTGCAAGTAGAATAATGAGAAGTTCACGTTTTCCAACCTTCACTCTCAAAACTATTTTCATATAGGATTTGATTGCTTTATAACATATAAAAAATATATTTCTTGAAACAGAGCAAAATAAAAGATCCTATCAGGTCACAAAAGCTGACAGACAACACCTTCCTGCGCAGATATTCCCCAGAACTTCTTCTTGTTTCATTAACAACCCGAAACCCTGGCAGATATGGAAACATGAAATAAAAAACTCTTTTACAACACATTCTGTAAAATTGTCAAAGAGATTTTGCGAAATCACAAAAATATGTTGAATGTTGCAGCACGTCTACCTTACTCTGCCAATGAATTTATGAAACTTTACCAGTAAACGGGTACAATTGAGCTCGTCAAGGAATATTTTGTACTCTTAAAGACACCCTGCACACTCTAGCAACTTTGATATTCGTCAAGTACCTTCTGTTAAAGAGCATTGAGCTTACTGTCCCCCTGTCTCAGTTGAATGATCTATTACTCAGGCACGATAAAGTCAAATATACATATGGTGATGTCTTCTCGCTTCACTTCCTGTTGAACTTGTTCAATGCTGTCAATACTAGCGTTCTCTTACCAGCCTATACTTTCAACAATACTTATTTGTCCCAATTATAAGCAACAAACTCGTTTTGCGAAACCATTTTAAAGTTTGTTCAGTGCTCTGGCTGCTCTCTTCCAAAACGGTGAATTGCATTTATCGGCCAATAGGACAGTGGCAGTGGTCTCATAAAAGTTCATTGTCAGAAGAAGGGAACTGGAACGCAGGAAAACAATGCTAGAAAATAAGTGAGTTATGTGTTAGCTGAAAAGCTCTAGCTTTTAAAGTTGCAACGCATTGGTTAGAGAATTTCCTTTTCCGTAGCTGTTCAAGCTTTGGAGCTCGGAAACAATCCACAATTTGTAGAATCTCATCACCGATTCTGTATAGAAATCTTTTCTTCTCAAGTTGAAAATTTGTTCATTCGGCCTTTAAGAAGACTTTGAAAGATTGGTTGACTTAGTTCGATCTGGTTCAGTAAATTAGTCGGAAAGAGTCGAAAAGCAAGTTTAAAGTTCAGTTATAGAACAAATTGCTGTGGAGCGATTGAAAGTGGATTCTAGTAGACAAACTGGTCGAAAAGATTGAGAAGCAACAATCCTCCTTGATTTAATTCCTGCAAAAGGTAGAGTTGAACAGTATATTTTGAATTCATTTGCTAGTCTCCAAGTTTTCCTCTTTTGTTATATATATATTTGTAAGGCTGTTGGTGTCTGCGTTGGACGACAGACAGAGTTAATGAATTGAAATTGATATATTATCGAGTTTCTGCAGATGATGATGCTCTCCAAAAACCATTCTATTTATTTTCTAAGTTTATTTTATCCTTTGCAAACGTTAAAAGAAGAGAGTTTTTATTATCTGTCGTCATCGTTCTGCTTTCTTGATGGATAACTAGAAACATTTGCAAAGGCTGAGATATAATGATTTGTTTTCGTAGCTTTTTGGAAATGATGCTATCAGTTTAATAAGGTCTGAGTTTTCGAGGAAATATTACTCCAAGATCTGAAAGAGAGATTGAAACCAGAAAAGACGTCATTTTGTGGAAGAGATGTTTTATATCGTAAAAGGAAGATATGCAGAACGAAAAGAAGAATTATCTAATATTTCTGCATTGTTGGAGGATTCTCCAGAGAGATAAAATGGTTGAAATATGTCGCCATTTTCCTGCATGAAAAATCAAGTCAAAATGCATTTCAAAGTATGGCAAAAACCTAAGAGCAGCCCTTCAAAAATAAAAACAAGTCACTAGCTCAAAAAGAATTAAATACAAGCTTCACCGACAAATAATTCTCTTCTGGAATGAAATTCTCCAAACTAACAAAATTACTGAAGGATAAAGGATAACAAGATATCCAAAAAAGAAAACTTTACAAATCGATGAAAGGAAGAGAGCGTTGTTGGAACGCATCAATACTACAGTGAAAGCCAAATAGGTACAGAGAGAATAAAGACTCAATCAATATAATAGAAAAGTCCAAACTCGTTTGAAAAATAGCATGACTCTGACTCTTTGTCGCTCTGCTCCGCTATTGTTTGTGCTACGAAGTTTTTGAAATTGCTTAATTGTCATTGCGTTACTGAAATATAATTTACAGTTTCTTGTACAGAAGCACCTTGAAAGCAATAAGTAATTGAAATTTGACAGCTTAAAGTAGTATCGAAGTACCGAAATCTCGAAGATCCCAACTTTTTTACTAGCACTGATACGAATAAAGTGTTAGACACCATCGAAGTCATGTAAAGCATAATAAGCATGGCAGAAGACATGTATTTAAAGCTCTTAGAAAGCGCACTACAAGATTTCGACCAAGAATAAATAAAGGGATCCATTGAATATGAATAAATCGGAAAATACTGGAGTCAAACCTAATAATCAGTAAAGTATCATTCGAAAAGCTTGCAGCTGGGTGATTCTATTTGATCCATTCTCCTTCAATGTCACCAATATGCCTTGGAGGTAACGATTGAGGCTGGATAAACTGTAACCACAAAAGAAGGCAAAGAGCAGTGAGTGTCTCTCAAGAACGGATGCTTACCACCTACTTGTCTATATAATGAATGATTCATTTTCGGTCACGACAAACTTTTTTGATTTCAACAAATATTCATCAAAAGCTTCGAATTCTCTTCTTCATAGAGGAATTGTCAAACACGCATATAACAACGTGCACTTGAGGCACAATATATCGGCTTATGATAATACAAGTTAACTTTTCAGTTTGTTACAACTAGAATGGGTTCATAAAAGCAAACTGTGATACTGCTTCCAGGGTATAAAAAGTAAAAATATTGAACACTTTTTGGAACAATCCTTAAAGGGAACGCAAAATATGCAA